CACGCCCATTGGGGGTGATGAACGTTCAGCTGGTCATGACCCCTACGCTTGCCGTCAAGCCATTAGCAGCAGCAAATTGACTATAAGTACCGCAAATCCTTGTGTATGAATTACCCGTTTCCGCTTATTCCTCTGATGATGGATCCGCGGCGGGTTTCGAAACGCGAAGCGCATAAAATTCTTGTTCCAGCAATAGCACCTGCTTCTTTCCTCGTATGTACCCTCTCATCGATTTCGTCGAGAGGGCAATTTTGATATAAACACGTCGCAGCTTTTATTCAATGTGATCAGCATTTTGAAATCAAGGAGGGCAACTGGACCGGGAAGGCGAACTTTTCTTTTCAAAGTCCGAATCATCAAAAGCGTTTTGTATTTGTAGGCTAAGGCGAACGGGAGCTTAAACAAAAGCAAGATATATGGACATTTGCCATATTATGTGTTGACGGAAACTTCAGACTTTTTAAGAAATATTATTTTTTGGAGTCGATTAAAAGTCTGGAAATGTATATCATTCTCTATGACTACGTAAGACAGATGCTGCTACAATAACCATTTCATGCCAACATTTCCTAGTCGATTACTTATTTTTAGCACAACAGAGTGGATAGTGGCATCCTTTTTTTGAGGGCTGTTAAGCAGCTTGTCAGCTGGTTACTTGAAAATAGGACAGCTGGTCAACTACAGTAAGATTGTCGCAAAGATAGTTCGCTTGTTCCGATTCGAGCTCCGCCCTATGTATTACTTCTGAGGATCTCTAATACTTAATCAGCATCCCTCATGGCTGTCTCAATGGACCACTGGTCCCAATAACTCAACGTTGTTTTGGAAATTATTGTTATCTGACTCCATTATCCAAATACATACTAAATGGGGTTTTATTACCTCATTTTAGACAGATCAGGTAACCCATGGCTTAATCATATTAGAGGACCGATGTAAAGCAGTACTGAACACTGGGCACACATGAAGCCCATGTCGTGCGTCAGCCGCTGTGCGCATTCAACGGCACCTAATGGAAAAGAATATGCGAGTTCCAGGAAGCAGTTCAGAAGAAGAAGATGCGATCACTGGAACAAGAGTTTTATTTGCCTGAAATTTCGGATTCCCTCAGGAATCCTTAATCATAGGTGATGGTAGTATAGTCATAGTCATGCGCAGATAGGGTTGAAACATGCACAGTTTGTACGGTATCTATAGTTCATAGTGGTCATCCGCGTGCGTGTGATAATTTTTCTTTTCTGTAGCCACCACTTGGGTCTTAATTGATGCGGTACTGGCTTGACACTTC